CAGGGCGTTTATCCGGTATCGCGCGCTGCCTCTATTCATAACGAGCGCCTTATCAACGCAAATTGCCGAAGAAAGCACAGGCACAGCCGAGTTGCACCTCTCATAAATATTTAATTTTTAATCACGCCGTGCGTGCGGATAGAGAGAGAGAGAGAGAGAGCACCGCCGAGAGCTGCGACGAGGGGCGAAGGGGGGGGTGGCTCTCTTTGAGCGTAGGTAGGTGGATAGAGCTGGATGACAGAGCGATGAAAGATCCCCATTTATCGTTCGAGTTTTCTGGAAGTAAGAGTCCGGCCCCTATTCTTGAAGTTTCCCCCCCCCTTCCTCGCGAGTTGTGATTCTTCGGGAATTCATAGAAGGATGCTGCAAGAATGATCTTCCGAAAAGTTACATGTTACCGTGATTGGAATTCCTGAGAACCTCCTTGAAGTAGAGAATTATATCGGCGGATGTATACTTTGTGAATTCGAAAGGGATGGTGTTTATGAACGGAAAGAGGAATACGAAGTACTCCCGATAAACAAGAACCACCAAGTTTAAAAGTAACGTTACATCGATATTATGATTTCCCATTTAACGATGTATTATAACGCATATTATAACAACACGTATTATATATGTATAATACTTATATTGCCATATTACTAATGGAAAATTATAATTTGGTGTAACGTTATTGTGTTGGCTGGTATTGGTGGGTAAGTGCAGCCAGAAAGACAACGTCGAAACGACGTGATTTTGATGACGATGACGTCATGTGATTAAATGAAACATAATTATGACGTGATTTTAGATGCTAAAATGGCACGTCGTTACCATTACGTCGAAAAGACGTATAGTCAACGTCGAATACATGTGGACGTGTTTTGTGTATTACCCGAATATTGACACCGCATTCTGCAAGTGCTGTTTTGATGAGACTATAACGGCACGCGGCGTGTAATATTGCAGTAATATTAATTAAAACGCGATATATCACAATGTAATATTTCTGTAATATTTATGTCATATTGCAGGGTGAAACGTACGACTTTGAAATATTACTGCAATATTTCGCAAATATTACCACATGATCTATCCCACTGTAATATTACTGTAATATTTATGAAATACTAGAACAACACAGACGCGCTATTTTCAGAGCTAATTGTTCTGTTGCATAGAAAAAAATCTCAATTGATGTAATTGAATAAGCACGCTACACGAAGAAAATCGTTTGAGTGACTAGCGCCCTTATTCTGTAACTTTTAACGTATACGTTACAGGCATAACACATACGTTACAAATTTAGCGCAGACAAAATGTGTCATAAGATAACCGCCCAATAAGCGAGAAACGTTAAATCAATTTCTTTTAATATTCATTTGATGCAAATTTTGTAAATATTTTGACATAATATTTAATAAATACTTTTAAATTGTTACTTGATAATATGATACCTCTAAATATTAAAATCGTATTATAGAAATATTATTTTTAATGTTTGAGTCAAATATTGTTAGCAATGGTGTTGTACACAGTATTAAGAACTACATATTTGAAAACGTCACATGTTATAAAATATCATTGTAATAATATCGCGTTACCCAATAAACGCGAAGCATCATTTATATTACATCTATATTATAATTTCTCACTCAACAATGTAAATATAATATAACACATATGTTATATTACATTCATTTACATTATTGAATGAGAAATTATAATATAGTTGTAATGTAACCGATGCTCAGTATTTATCGGGTAATGATTTCTTCTTTACCTAACGTGTACAACGATACGTTAACGACAACGAAGATTGAGAATACAAGATAAATTGAAGAATAAATTGATATAGCTCAGAATTAATGTTCACCATAATAATCTTTCAGAAACGATTTTTATATAAATATTTTTTGACATTTAAAAAGAAACGATTATTCGCGTTCACTCCTTTTTTCCGTTCTTCTGAAAAAGAATTTTTTATGTTTTATATTATAAAATACAACAAAGTGCAATACGATCGAAATAATTTCGGTATTCGGCCCTTGTTTTGAGGTACGCTCATACCTCGAGAGATTCTACTTTTCGCCCCCTTTCGCAACTCGCCCCACGGGGACAGATTACTCCGGCGCGGCTCGCCGTCTCGTGCGCGCGATTCAACTTCCGCGTTCTTGCATTCGGGGGGGACGTTTTTACCATATCGCGCGCAAAGGGGCGGAAAGGGATTGCGTTCGGTGGAGTAGTAGTCTTCCCGCGCGGGGAAATTCATAATTTGCATATGTCTATGCGTGCGGCCGCGGCTGAATGTGTGCGTGAGGTTTAATCGAGCGCCAAAAGCGCTTTCCCCGTCGCGATTATTCGAAGCCCTCTAATGCGCCGCGGCGCTCGCCGCCCTCGAGTTCCCGGCGCGGATCGCCCGCCGCGCGCACCGTTGTGCGTACATCCACCCCCCTCCCTCCCCCAACGACGAATGGAAATTGCGGATGGAATTCTGTGCGGCTGGTGAACGAAAAACTCGCAATCCACTTCCCATCATCTTGCAAATCTTGAAATTAAATGAGCGAGAATCTGACGCGCGACGCGTCGGGGACGCTCTCGCGAAGTTTCAAACGCGCCACATTATAAAGCGTCGTTTTATCCGCATCCTTGGAGCGGCATCCTCTCTTCTCGCTGGATTCGTATTACCCAACTGCGGATTATAAGCGAACAAATGTCGAAATAGACGCGAGGTCTGAACGAACCAGTTCGGATTTTCCTGTGCGAGAAAAGATTGGGAGGAGCATCTCTCTCACTCTCTCTCTCTCTCTTCTCTCTGCGGAAGGAAGGTCGACGATACTGCGGACAAGAGAACCGTCAGAGACGTAATAAGGGCCGCGAAATCGGGAGAGTACCCAAGGCAGTCCGGGACATCCGTTAATATCACCGTCGCGCGACGTATTCGAATGCGATTTTCCCCGTGCGAAGTGGGAAGACGAGCGACGCAGAGCTATCGTCGCTCCCATCGCGAGAAGCGGAGGAACGAAGAGGCGGTATAATTCGATACGTCCCCGACGAACGAGCGGGTATTCTCCACGCCATATAACTAACTCCGTGACGATTTAATCCTATATCGGATCCCCTCCTCCTCCTACCTCCCACCCTCCCCCTCTGTATCGGCGAACATATTCCGGTATATAGCCGCTGCTAAACCGGGTTTTGAGGATAGCTCGGCCGCGTGAGAAATAAATGTATAAACGTATATCTTCGCGGAACACACACACACACACATACAAACAGAGGCAGATATAGACACACGGCGAATCACGTCGAAGAAAGGAAGAAGAATTCTCTTGCCTCCGACATCCCGAGACAGCGGAGAACAATCTCGACGAGGGAAAAAAAAAGTATTTTCAACGCGACTTTAAAATTAGATGTTGCAGCGAAACACACGTTTACGTGTGATTTTCGGCGTCAGCCTGTCGCGTTATCCACGTACCTTGAATAAAAGTACGTCTCGTAATCGAATTGATTCTCGATAATACGAAATTTTGCGCTCGAGAACGGCTCATTGAGATTTTTGTGTCGCTTTAACGCAAAAATGTGGGGTATGTTGCAAAGTACACAAATACACGTTGAATTAACGTGTTCTCTTTAAGTTAAAGAAACGCGGAAATTTCGACGGATCGTTTTTCAGGCGAAACTTTTTGCCGCGTCGAGTTGAAAAACGATGTTGTAAAACGATGATCGCGCGGTGATTACACCCGGTTCCCATGTGGTGCGGAAAATGATGTCGTCAGCACCATGAGAAAGTGAATTTTTATATATCGAAGGAAGAAAGTACATATTTAAATAAACATCTGCTAAGAAATACCGGAATAATTATTTTCCATGCATTAAATAAACATTTACTTAAATGTAGCATTTTTTTTCTTTCGGTGCAATCGTTCCCTCATCATTTTAACGTCATTTCGAAATCATCGTGACGTTCCCGTTCCACCTGAGCCATCAAAGCCGAATGCGACAAAAGTCCGTTGATCTGCAACGTCTCTAACGGCGGGATTCCCGTTAGAAATCTTTCTTAATTTCAACCTAACGCTCGTGAGAGGATCCGGTTGCAATTTCGCGCACCTTTATCGCGGAATCTCTGCTTGATATTAGAAAAAAAAAAAAAAAAGAAAAAGCAAATAAATTGAACTTTTGCCTATTCAGAATTCACGGACGGCGGCAAATAAAGCAACAAGAAACGGGACTTGAAACTTTTAGAATGCATGAACGCTGAAATTTTAAACCGCCGGGAAAATTCTGCCGGGGAGCGCGAGAGCTCCCGGCTGAGAAACTACCGGCGTTAAGCGCGCGCGCGCGCTTTCTTCGCTCTCTCGTATCCGACGATTGGCTTATACGCCGCAAATTCAATATTCCCCCCGGCTGAAGCAGTAATTATCCAATACACAGAGCACGGAACGGTGTGGTAAATGCGGGTAAGTGCGCAGCTATGAGCGTAACACCCGTAACATCCGCTGGTAATTTACCTGCAATTTTGCCAGAGCGCGCGCGCAACTTCGTTTCGCGCGGTTAAATCGCTTCGCTAATACCATCAACAAGTATTAGGCGCGCGCGGGTCCTCGTTAAGTCCCCCGGAATCTTGATGAGAGAGGACTTCGCCGAGGATTTCTCCGTCGGCGCCGGGCCATTCGGACCGTAAAATTGATCGAACTTAGCAATGTCGTTGCGCGCATTCGTTCGCTCACGCGCGGTCTCCTCTCCTCTCGCCCATATTAAACTTGCACGGTTCTCCGGAACCGCGGAAACAAGGTGTGCGCGCTGTGAGGTAAGGAGGACGGGGATCCGACGGAAGGACGATTAGGGCGTCGCAGTGTGCAGTGGCACTGCTCGCGTCTCCGCTTAATTAGGTTCCCGTGTAAATCGCACGGGGTATCGGGAATCGCTCGGGAGGAGAAACGGCTCGCTCTTCATCGACGGGTGACGGATAAATCGGGACGGGTCGATCGCTAAACACACGCGCACACATACACATGTTTAAATAAAACGATTAAAATATCTTTATTAACGACACACGTAACAACAATCTTATTTTCATCTTATTAAAGTATATAAATAGCGAAAAAGTGGCCTCTCTCCCTCTCCCTCCCTCTTCATCTCAATAAGATTGTCAACGTGAGCGAGAGTCGATAGAGATCTCCGGATATAAACGGGAGGATACGATAATTATCCGACGACCAATTGCCTTAAACTCCCGACTTCTCGAAGCTACGCGCCGAGACTCTGGGCTACTTGATTTCTCGTCATTCGAAAAGCGCCGTCCCATTTGCGCGACGGCCTCGATCGCTTCGCGCGCTTTACCCAACATTAATAAAAATAAGCACCGTATAAATAACGCCGGGGGCAGAAAAAGGGTTGCGTCAGTTGCACCTGCCGGTGTTCTTTTCAGTCAGCCAGCCCGGCTCGATGACAGACACGCCGCGCAGGTAACACTTGCTGGTGGCCACCACTTCCGTGAAGAGCACCATCGGCGGCTTCGTGCCGCCGTGCAACGTCGAGGAAGGATGTATAGTTACCGGCTGCTTCGTCAACATCTACAACAAAACAGTTAACGCAATTACACGGAAATCCCCCTCGCCGGGAAACTGTCGGCGAAGAGGGCGGTATAGACGGGAAGTAAGGCGCGGAGAAGCGCCGAGTCGAAGACGATGACTCGACGTAACACACACACACACAGTTCCGATACGCACACTTGTGTCACCCCGCATCTTCGTTAAGCGTGTCTTCATCCCGTGTAGGATTTCACGAAACTACACGTCTGAGTCTCTCGTCCGATTCCCGGCGCGTTCTCGCGCGCTTTCAATAAGACCTATTTTCGGCCTACGAGAGAGTACCGACTCGCATTTTTCTAGCTTTCAAGCAAGTAGCACGACGTCACGGATATTCATGCGTCAAAATGGCTGCCGCCGTCTGTGAGACGCCCGAAACGGCGGACGAAGAACGAACCCGCCGGAAAAATACAACAGCACGGGGAGAGGGGGAGATGATAATAACAATAATATCGAAGACATTTGCTCACCGTGATGTACGTCCCGTCCCGTTGCAGTTCCGCGAGATTTTCGTGGAGACCCTCGAGCAAGGCCCTCCTGAGCTGTTCCGTATTCGTGCCGCAGCTCGCGCCCTCCAAATTCGCACGTTCCGCCAACGCCGCGAGCTGTTGCCTCACCTCCGAGCCGTACTGCAGATTCCGATAGTGCAGGAAGTTCTCGTGGCACCAGCTCTTCTTTTGCTTGGTGCTCTGGTATTGGCGGAATATATTCAGCAACGTTACGTGATCCCCCTCGGGCGAGGCGAAGCTGAAGCGCAAAACAGAATTTCCCGACAACGTTAAACGATAATTCGCTTTGTCGCAAAGACTCGCGCAATTCTACCTCGATTCGCGTCTCCCTTTGAGCTGTCGTAGCATATTCGGCGAGATTCTTCTACAGAGCCGCTCTCAGTGAGCAGAGTAACAATATTGAGACAACAAATCGATAGCGAATACAGATATCGCGTACCGTTCGCGCGCTTTGGTAGCTTGTGCCCTCTTCGCAGCCGAGTCCATAAATACCGATTCTGCCGATAGTAAAGCAATAACCGTCAGTGCCTCCTCCAAACACCTGTGCTCCACCGAGGCAAGGATCACTTTGGTGAATCGAGGATCTAACGGGAACCGTGCCATCGTTCGACCCAGTGTGGTTAGCTGAGATCCTAGTCGGAGAGATGGAATAACTTTATTATCTCTGTCGCGAGGCAACTACTATTACTCGCGTGTGTGACGGCTACGTAAAGATTTGAGGTCATCGATCACTTCTCATCGAACGCCTCGCGCTCTCAACGCGAAATGAGGATTCTAACACCCTCGTTTAGTATATTTTACTTTCTCCTCCTATTGAATAGAGGCAAAAATTGCTCTCTTGGAACTTCGAAAATAGCTAGAAAATAGATCAACGAGACTCGACAAGATGCAAATTGTTTTATCCGTCTACTTTAAAGGCATATGTTATTTTTTTGGTCTACTTTCGTGAAGCAGATTTGAAAAAAGATATCTTCTCTCGCGAGTAAACGCGTTTATTGTACGAAGGGAACTCTCGTACCTCTAACTGCGCCCAGTTTCTCCAAACACTTGACGGCTACGTCCACACCCTCCTTGGGAGGTTTGTCCATGAAATCAAAGGTGGTGATGTCGATGCCGATAGCGAGAAGTTGTAGAGCGACTCCCGCGAGGTTGCACCGTTTGATTTCGGGCACTGTCGTGTTCTCCAGCCTGTCGTATTCTTCTTGCGTGTAAGTTCTGTAGCACTTGCCGGGTGCCTCGCGACCGGCTCTCCCCATCCTCTGCCTGGCCTGTTCCTTCGAGATTTTCTCCACCTTCAACATGTCCAGCCCCGTCATCGGATGATGGGTCCTCACTTTGACGACACCGGTGTCGATCACGTGGCGAATACCTGTGTTGTATCTTCTCATTGAACTCTCAGATCACATATCTCGAGCGGCCGCAAATTAAGAAGAGTTGAAATCAAGAAGAATCAAGAGGATGAGAAGCAAGTTTGAGTGACGTAATTACATGACACGAACAATATCACACGTCGTGCACCTTTAACTGCGTATCAATATGCCTCACGTGCAAAATTTGAAAAAGTAACCCCCTCCCCCCCTTCGTAAGTTATCTTGCGCTCGTTAAGAAAAATTAACAGCGATAAAAATTGTATTTTACTTTCTACCTCACTGAAAATACGAGACGTATGTGCGTACCACCAATGGTAACGGACGTTTCGGCGATGTTGGTCGAGAATACTACTTTGCGCGCTCCCGGCGGTGACGGTTTAAAAGCCTCCAACTGTTGACGGGTGGGTAACGCCGAGTACAATGGGAAAACCGTTAGAGGCGGATGATTGACGACACTGCTCAGCTGCTTACCCATCTCGCGGGTGTACGTTACGGCCGACTCTATCTCTTCTTGACCAGTCAAGAACACGAGAATATCCTCGCTGAAAAAATAAAAGCCGGAGGGCATTTGAAATGTCGTCGCTCCCATCTCTCTCTCTCTTTCTGTATAGCAAGCGATTTCACTGTTAAGTGTCGCGGACATGATCGGTATTTACTTCGGAGGAGTCTCGCGGTGTATCTTAAACAGTGTGGCCAATGCGGGCAGCCAGTAATTCTCGTACGAGGAGACGGTCTGGTAAACCTTTATCTCATACTGACGACCCTGAAGGTACACCACCTGCGCCTGGAAATACTCGATGAACTTATTGACGTCCATCGTCGCCGACATGATGATCAGTTTCAGGGGCGACAAGTTCTTGATCTTTCGCAAGTTTTGCGCCCGCCTCGCCACCCCGAACAGAACGTCGGTGTGTACGGATCGCTCGTGTGCCTCGTCGAGTATCACCACCTTTATAATTTCATAAGATCGGTATAATAACTAGGAAGAAATCATGACACATATTCAACGATCAATCGCAAAGAGGAGTCAAATTCGTCGATAAAATGAAATGGCAATAAATAATTCAGCGGTAACGGAATCGAGCGCGGTATTTCGTCGGTGTGTGAAAATGTACCGAATAGTCGGATAGAATTTCGTCGGTCATCGCCTCTCGCACCATCATGCCGTCCGTCATATACTTGATTCTCGTCTGCGACGAGGTGACGTCCTGGAAACGGACGCAATATCCGACCAACTTCCCCAGCTCAACCGTTTGTTCCTGGGCGACTCTTGACGCTATACTGACCGCCGCTACTCTGCGCGGCTGCGTGATACCGATGCACCCCAGCGAGGCTAGTCCGGCCTCGAGTAAAAATTGCGGAATCTGCGTAGTCTTGCCGCTGCCGGTCTCCCCGATCACGATCAGACTATCGTGCTTCTTCACAATGTTCACCAGTCTACAAATTCAAAATTTCTCTCGTCAAGTGCGTCAGAGGTAAGGGAATTCCTTTGCAATAACGTTTTTCAGACACGGTGAAAGCCAAAATGCGTACCGGTATTCAATGCCGACACTTCGAATCTGTGGATTCGCAGTGAATATAGAAAGCCTGACTTACTGAACGGGGAAACGCAACATAAGTATTCCTTCAGATTTATTTCTTAGTTTATTCATAATTTGATTTTATAAGAATTACAATTTGTCAAGTAGGTTACTAAAGCTTCTTAAACATCAGATACAAAGTCGAGATTTGACATTTATTCCGAGATGCCGGAAAAGCTGCTCCGCTTCTCGCTCGGCGGTTCACAAGGGCACATTTTGAAACAAATTTCAGGCAATCTCAAATTATAAGTACCGCCGTTCCACCTCAGACTGTATCATCGACTAAGCGAGTAACCTTACTCGCTGAACGAACGCCTCAAGCAGCGCTCTACTTTAGCGACCTCAGTCGATAACGCTCCATTTTGCTGCGACATCATGTAAACAGCGTCCGCGTGCACGCGACGCTTTCGCACGTGATGCTTCTTCGCGCATCGTGGGAAGAAGCGCGCCGAATGGAGAAGAAGAAGGAGAAGCGAGGCTTACGTTTTACGGTGACGATAGACCGGCAGCGACTTCCGGCACTTCTGGAAACCGTTCGCATCCTTGTCCTTTTCGGGCACGCTCGCGGCTTGCTGGGCCGCCTCCTCCTCGCTCGTTTTCTGCACTTTGCTGGGGCCCGCGCCGAACACGACGGTGTTGGGCCGCTTCGGGGCGAGTTTCGAGAAACTCGACGCGCCCATCATGTTATACTTGGAGTCCAGGTTGTCGTAGACCCCCATCTTAACCGTACGTGACGGGAACACTCGTGACGGAACTACTTCGCAGCACCTTCGGCACGATCGAACAAGCGTCACACGCTACAGCTCATAACGCACTGACTGCCACACACCAGCTTCTCACCGCTCCCACAGCTGTTCTCCGCTGCTTCTTCTCCCACCAAGAGACACAGGGACTGATGAACGACGGACACGCGCATTCAGCGAGCTCTATTCGGTCTCCTCATCGATGCGTTCCGAAATGCTGCCGATTGTGCTGTGTGCGTGCTCAAAAAGAACACACTCGCTAGTACATGTACCGCACGAGACGCGGCAATCGCCGTGGTATCCGGAAATGCTCGAATTCGGAACGCGAAACATCAAAAATCGGCCAATCACAGTCGAGGATGTTTGAAATTTCGAGCGATCTTGAATTCTCGACTGTGATTCGTCGCTTGAGTTATTGCCGAAGTTTCGCTCTGCTTCAACGGACGTCGTCTCTTTCAGGTAAGATGTGAGAATATTGCGAATTAAGCGAAACATCTCTCGTGTTTAGACGGGCGTTGTCACTTCGGGTAATTAGTAAAATGATAATTTCGTAAAGTAACAGTAGTGAATAATTAAGATCAGCGGAATTATAATTCGATAAATCTTTCAAAATTGCTTTCGGTGTATTAGCCTTTCGTGAGAAATCCTGAACGTCCTCTCGTGTTAAAATCAATCTTGCAATTCGTGCCGTCTACTTGAATCTACTTGAAATCTACTTGAATGGGCAAAGAATTTCCTTCTCGATACATTAACCTTTCACGAAAGATCTTAACTCTAACTATCGTATTAAAAATCTACCTGTTATTCGTATACTAAATCTATTTGAAGGCAATAGATAAAGAATTAGTGCGTTGAAAAGAGATTGATCATTGCAGGACTACTGAGGAATCTGTTTTTGCATCCTGTACCCGTGCATGTAGACAGATGTCTCGAGAAATTGATCGGTAATCCTGAGCTCATAATTATCATCCACGCGCAGGACGTTTCCAAGACGAGCCGGGCTCATCTATTTCGAGCATTGCAGAGAAAACAGAGGTGATATTTTAAATGGTAAGTGGTATGTGCGATTTCTGATTAATGGCGTTAAAATGAGAAATATTGAACAATAATAGTAACACAACGTTGACAATAGTGGCACATGTCTTGTCATATCACATTTAGCAAGAATAAAAATGTATTTGCGCCTCGGCATTCTTGAATTTATTTCATCAGTTTTTTTTCTGTTTTCACCACGAAATTGTGATGAAAAATGTGCGCTTATGAAATTGAAAAGTAACGGACGATCGAAGGGACTTGTTACTTCGTCAAAATAGCTAAATAGAACAGAGGCAACAATTAGACCGAACATTCATTTATTACAACATTACATCAAGATCTGTCACACATTATTTATACTTTACACATTAACGAATAGCTTTCTGCAACATTTGACTTTTTGAATTGAATATAGCCCATGATTCGCGACCAGCATTTGTAAAGGACAAATGTAAGGCGGTTGTAAAAAGCAACACCAATTTATAATAAACCAATATCGACTATGATTATCAAAGGAATGCTAAACTCTACTGACTTGTCAACAGCTGATGTATATTTGTACATATATATACGTATTATGCAGCTCATATATTTCGTCAATGAAAAATATTCACTAGTCATCGTCATAGCTAATCAACCCGGTTAAAATGAAAATCTGTATAGAGTTGCGTTACGAAATTATCACAGATCAAGCTGTGTGGTAGGAAGACACATGAATGAGACACGGTGAGCCTCAACGAGATTTAGGAGATTTTACCATTTTGTCATTTAAACACCTATTTGCTTCGCAAATTCGCAGCTAAATCTAACGTATTATCGTAATGGTCGGTGAATCGGCGTTTTCACATGCGGCGGTACCTGAAACGAAACCATCAATTTTCGTTTTCACGTTCCGTGCTCAGGCGGGAAAGGATCGTTTACCACTCATGCATGTGGAGTGTAAAGTAACGTATGATCTAAGTGGAGTCAATTTACCATCGCGCCGATGCGTGACAAGTACCGATTCCGTATACTGATGTCGGACTGCGGTTGCATGAGCTCGTCCGCCGAGAGATCCGCCGAGCATTCCGGCAACAGTTTCTCTCTCTCCAAACTTTCGGGCGTGCAGCGGACCGCCTCGTATCGTTCCCTCTGCCCGGGCGTCATGTTGAGATAACCACCGCCTGTTGCCACGTCGGACACCCAGATTGCGGCGGCGGTTATCAGCGAAACTGTGTTCCGTCAGGCGAATGTCAGTGAGATGGTTAGCAAAATTTTGACGACGACGAAATGGCACATAGGTCAACGTCGCTTGAACTCGCACAAGTTCAAGAGAACTAACTCACCCCAGAGCCAACCGAGGAAGAACATCTCGAGCATCAAGTATCCCCCCTTGTCGACGATTATGCCGGCTAAAATCGAGACTATGGCGAGACCTAAGTTCTGGACAGACTGTGCTCTGCAAACGAATGAGATCTTTTTTTCGTTTTCTTCAAGTTTCCTGCGAAGTCACTGGCAGAAAGGAGGGAGAAAGCGCGTCGTTGGGGTCGTTGACGCCGGCGAACTTGCGAATACTTACATTCCATAAGCAGTGCCGAGTTGATACTCCGGCGTAACGAGAGCGATCAACGGCCACAAACTGCTGGCCAGCATAGAGTACGCCAGTCCCATGAGAACCATGCAGACGTACGGATTCACATAGGTAAACGCGAGCAACCCATGCGCGACGATCGTGGCGCAAATACTGAGAAACACCCATGTCACATTCTTGCCCGTTTTATCTACTAAATAGCCTAGCAGAGGCGACGCTATCGCCGATATAGAATACACGAGGGAATTCACCGTATTCGCGGCAGACGGATCGTACTCGTATTTTCTCTCGAAGAATACTCTGGAACAGAAATCAACGGGCAGTTTGATCCCCCTCTCGCTTCTGACGCATGGAAACGTATGAAAGGTACGAATGGTACGTTCAAGGATCGTCCTTGAGATACGCAACTTCCAGTGCCTGGTGTAAGTAACTTACTTGCCCAATGCAACGAAAGGAAATATCGCGACGTAATAAGCGATGCAGATGATTGCGACTAGCCAGAAGATCAGCTTGAAGTCCTTGACGTCCGTCAGACTGACAGCTTGCATTTCGCTCCCTTCTCCTCGCCTGAGCAGCCTCTCGGCCCGCTTGTCCATCAGGCCAAGCAGGCAAGCGCATATCATCGACATCACGCATGTGCCGGCAGAGAGGAAGAGAACAACGCCGATACATTCCGGGCCCTTGTAGTACTGAGATACGTAATTGTATATCGGTTCCATTACCAAGAAGTTCACGGTCGACCCTACTCGTGCAAAGCTTAACTGCAGCCCGAATACCATGTTCAGTTCTTTACCTTTGAACCACAGAACCGCGTAGCTGTTCTGGGCAACTGCCAATGACTCGGCGCCGATTCTAGAATAGAAATGAATAATCGAAGTAGAAAAGGGTACAGTACGAATACCACACCACCACATCACACGACTGGAAAGTATTAAAAGGCAGGCACGCACCCAAAAACAAATCGACCGACCATCATTAGCCAAAAGGAGTCGACAAGGGCGCCAGATGCAAAAACAATCTGTCCGATCAATGTGAGTCCCATGTATATTATAGTACCTAACCGAATTCCGAAGACACTGTCCAATAAGAATCCACCGATGAAGCAGAGAATGACATTCGGCCAGGAATAAATGGAATACAGCAGAACGAATTTGCTGGTCGACATATGTAAGTCAGATTTAAAATTGTCTTGCAACGCTCCAGGATTGTCGAAGCAAAAGTAAGACCCTAAAACGAGAATCGGCTCTTTAAGTCAGTGTTATCATTGTGATGTCTGGAAGTTGAGCAAAAATATATTTTTTTTAACGTTATGGAGGTGCCCTAGTTAGGAAAATTGATATATTGTCTGCCGAAAGAAGCAAAGTTCACAGTTGAATTAACGAAGATAACGCATGTCTGGATATTTTTGTTATGAGTCATCTATCCTCATAACATTTACATATGGCAACAATATCAGCTAGAAGGCGGCACGATACGCTACAAAAAGAACATTCATGATATGCGTTATCTGAGTAACGTCAAATTTTTCTCTATGATTAATAGCATCAGACAATCATGGCTGATGCATAACTTATTTTTCGCATATACGCGTACGACAGACACATGTACACAAGGAAGAAAACAAATAACTTGAACAATTGCTGTGTGCTATTTTTCTTTAAGACTTGTCTGAGACCAAGATTTGGCGGGACGGCGAGTAAAGTATATATATATAAATATGTCGATTCGTACCGAATCCAAGAAGACACATAAGCGCCAGTCCCAAAAATCGATAGGGCGGTCGTTTCGGGCTGCAAAATCCTTGCAACGCAATTTCATCCTCCGATCTATCCAGCGTGTCTGAGCTTTCCATTGTGCCTCCCTCCATGTATTCGCTATTGTGTGACCTGCCACTTGTTGTCCGTCGAATATCACAAGCGATTCAGCTTGCGCGTCGATAAGTCGAAATTTTGAGTGAATTTAGAAAAGGTGACTTACGTTGAGACAAGGTTGCCCGGTTCTTTACGTTTCACATTGCACGGTCACGCGTCGGTCTCAAGGATAAGATCGGTGGAGGCTGCGATCGATAAACGACGACCGATCGACTACTACTCCGACCGCCGCCTTGAACAGCAGCTGGGATCTGTCATTGTTGTTGTCTGTCGCGCCTATACGCTAGGGGATACACCACAGACATTTCTGCAAGAGCCAGATCGCTAACTCTCATGAAATAATAGCTCCAATCACATGTACCGAAGTGACGCGCACTCGCCCTGTAACAAGTATAACAGACACGTTTGATTGGTTGAGTCTCACGTGTCCGATGCCATTGGTTTTGTATATATACGTTCAACCAATCAGATGTGTGTACTCCTTACGCCATGTGCACGCTTGTGTCGTATGTGATATATAGTTATCAGTATCCATTTCTGTGTTCTGTAAACAAAGGAGCTAGCAGTGTAGTTCATTAATGTGGTTAAACAGATGTTTGCGTGTATATGACGCCGACTGTACACTTGGTTCCAAAAGGATTTAAACATTTCTTTCTTGATGCAGTTGGGAACAGCTGATGCTCCAATGAGAGAGCTTCTTTTCTAGGAATTTTTCGGAAGCAAGTGCTCTTATTGGACCATCGACTGCGTCCCGAATTGCATCGGAAAAAAAGTGTTCAAATCATATCAAAAAACCAAGCGTACGTACATGTTCGGTATAATAGCGTTAACGTTTTACCAGGCCTAGTTATAGTAGAATAATGATATTAATGAACACACTAATTAATTTCTTAACGATTCTTACATGTTAAATGCTATGCGGTACTGAAGACTGTGAGCGCTTACGATAAAGCACCGGAATTGATTCCGAAGCAGAAGTGTTATGCTTATCTATCCTCTCGCCAGATTTTTTATATCATACAGATACATAGTTACGTATCTAACAATTTTAATAACACCCCATGCATGTTTCAAAGGTGTCACAAAATTCCTTTCCCGAAACGACATTACTTTGCTAGGGAGGGGGGGGGGGGGG